GGACTGATCACTATTTATTTGTAAGTATACGCTTTAAAGCTTGAAAAAAAACGTTTCATAGCGTCTGGTAAATAACACTTTGTTAGATTGTTTTTAATTTTTAATTTCGCTTTAATCCAGAAAGAAGCTAAAATTTCTTTCTTAATATATTAAAAATTTTTAGCGAAGGTAAAAGTTGGCTTTTAGAAACTATAAAGAAAAGATGTTTGGTCTACTACAATCGAATTTCTTCCAAATATAATTGAATTCTTCACGGAATGAAACCAAAAAAAGTTGTAAAAAATGATTTTTTCTCTATTTTTGGATGCAGTTGTTAAAATATAAATGTTACTTGCTAGATCTTATTGGACCAAACACTTCTCATTTGTTTATATACGCATTGATACTTGAAAGAAAATTTATCATAACTTTTGTTCTACAGCATTTCTTTAGATATCTGATAGTTTTTACTTATAATTATCCTAGAAAGCAGCGAAAATCGTTATATAGCATTTCTTTAGATATCTGATAGTTTTTACTTATAATTATCCTAGAAAGCAGCGAAAATCTTTCTTAAGTATATTGAAAAGTTTTTAGCGACCGTACAATGTGTTATTAGAAGCCAGACAGAACGGATGTCAAGTTGACTACAATCGAGTTTCGGCGAAAAAGTATTGAATTCTAAACGTAAAGTAACAAAAAATGTCGTAATAAAATGGTTTTTTTCCTTTTTCTTGACTGCAATAGTCTAAATATAAATGTTATTTGCTGAATTTTATTGAACGTAAACCCTTTTTATTTCTAAGTTACGCTTTAAAGCTTGACAGAGAACGTTTTATAGCGTTTGTTAAATAGCACTTTTTTAGATTGTTTTTATTTTATAACTACGCTTCAATCCAGAAAGTAGCGAAAATTTCTTTTTAAATGTATTAAAAATTTTTTAGCAAAGTTGAAAATTTGCTTTTAGAAACTATAGAGAAAAGATGTTTGGTTTACTACAATCAAATTTTGTTGAAATATAATAGAATGCTACACGAAAAGTAACCAAAAAAAGTTCTAATAAAATGATTTTTTTTTGTTTTCTTCGACTGCGGTTGTTGTAAATTAATTGATATAAGCTAGATTTTATTGGACCGAACACTTTATATTTGTTATTATACGCTTTAAAACTTGATAGAAAATTG